CAGTCTTTTTCAGAAAACAAGTGAATGGTTTTGGGGTTTTTTTTTCCCCATCTATTAGGTGGTTTTTCATTTGAGTCCAAGGTGTTCTAATGTTAGCAGAATATTAGCAATGAATGCCTTTGGAGCAACATACCTTTGCAAGCTCCATAGATCATTTAGAGCAGACCCCGAGGGTGTTTGATTTGTGGCTAAGGTGAAATTTTAGAAACTTAATTGATACCTTCATTCAGAGATGAGAAACGATACGCACTTAACCGTGAGTGCTTTTGTTGTGCTGGGCACTGTGCCGTGTTATAAAAATATCATCTCCTTTAATCCTCATACCACACTCCAGGCAGTTCATCAGTGAAGAATTGTATACAGCTGGCTAGTGGTGTTTACATTCATCACAGCCAATTAGTTACAGGAGCCTTTATTCCGTCTCCCACTGCTCTACTGGATTAGCCTGAAAAAAAGGGGGTAAGTAACTAATCACAAATAAAAGTTTCTTAGATAAGAGAGAGCTTCAGTTTCTTTCCCACATGGAAGGCGTCTGGAGGTAAGTAGACCCAGGCTGTAGGGCGAGGTCCGCCGCACTGGGTCCCAGGCTCTTCCTCCTTTGTGCTCTGCCTGAAGTAGCACAAAGTTTCCTCTTTTCCACCTTCACGTGTGTCTCACGACCCACGGTGCCTGTTGAGGCGGGTGTTCTCCGTGATCTTGGGAGAGGCAGGAGGACTGAGGGGCAGGTGGGTGAAAAGGGCTTTCTCAGAAGCGCCCCCCAACCTCCAACAACGTCCACGGGCATCTTGGTGGCCATCCACCAGGTACCAGGGGAGACCGATACTGAGCGGGCGGCTGGTGTCATTTTTATTTTCAGGTGAAGAAATGGAACCTGTTCTGTCTCAAACTCACAGCGGCTGCTGACTTCCTTCCTCTCTCCCTTCCTGCCGCCTCCTTCCCTCCTCCAGCCCTTCTCCTCCTCTCTCCATCCTCCCTCTTTCTTTCTCCCCTTCTTCCCCCCTCCCTCCCGCTGTCCCTTCCCCCCTGTGTTTGTCAATTTGGTGGTTATAAAATGAGACCTACAGGTTTCTGTTACTGTAATTTGGTCAGTTGTTACAGAAGGTGAGCAGTTTTCCAGTTTTGTCTGTAATTTATATAGCTTCTTGTGAATTGCCTGTTTATATAATTTGTCCATTGATTTATTAGGATCTTATTTTTTCTTGTAATTTGTGGTTTGTATCTACTACAAACATTTACTAGTGAAAAGAATAAAAGAAAAACACAAATAAGAATAAAATAATAAAAAAAATTTTGGAAAAACAAAGAAAAATAGGAAGTCACGACTGTGAATCTCCCTTTATGGGATCAGCTTTATTTTTATTTTTATTTATTTTTAATTTAAAAAAATATTTTATTTATTTATCTTCAGAAGGGAAGGGAAGGAGAGAGGGAGAGAAATATCAATGTATGGTTGCCTCTCGTGCGTCCCTTGCTGGGAACTGGCCTGCAACCCAGGCCAGACTGTGCCCTGACTGGGAATAGAATCTCCATCCTTTGGTTCACAGGCCCATACTCAATCACTGAGCTACACCAGCCAGGGCTTATTTTTATTTTTTTAATAGGATCAGCTTTTATTAAGAGAATCTGTGATGCCATTATCTGGGATGCAACATCTTGCTATTTTATTTTATTTTTAGTCCTCTCCCAAGGACACGCTTATTGATTTTAGAGAGGGGGGAAGGGAGGGAGAGAGACACAGGGAGACATTGATGGGTTGCCTCTCACACGCTCCCCAGCTAGGGACCAAACCTGCTGTTGCATCCCAAGTTCTCGAGAGAAGGAACGAAGACTTTCAGAGGTTCAAAGATGTTTATTGAATCAAAGCTTTACCTGTGCAGGGGCGAACTCTCAGGGCGTCCTCAGGGTGTCCGAGGACACCGTGCCAAAAATAGCTGCAGATGAGAGTCGCGCCGAACGCTTACAGACTAGGGTTCTTATAGAAGCGAGCAAGCAAGCGATTTCCAGAAGCGAGAGGTGGCCGTTAGCCGTTGGTCAGGGGCTCAAGCTAGGGCTCGTGATCTTGCTGATGATTGGCCCGCAAGGTGCATGAACAGCTCGTGCTCAGGTTAGCCATTGGCCTAGGGCCTCAAGCTCTACCGACTGAGCTAGCCGGGCTCATGCTAGGGGTAAAAAACTTCCAGGAGGCTATCTGCTTGACCAATTCTTATTACTTCATTGTTCTTTTCTTAACTTCTTAACTTCCTGGAGTGTCTGCCCGAGGTGGGGTGTGCGGTTTCCCGCCTAAGCTTGAGCAAGCAGCTAAGGTCGAACAAGCAACTTAGTTTTCTTAAGACTACTTCCCTAAAAACTACTTCCCTAAAGACTACTTCCCTTAGCTCCTATCACCTGCCACCTCGGCATGTGTCCTGACTGGGAATCAAACCTGTGACCCTTCAGTTTACAGGATGATGCTCCATCCGACTGTGCTACACCAGCCAAGGCTGGGATGGAGCGCCTATTGCCAGGCTGTCTGAGATTAATCATTTCTCCTTGCTGATAAGAGAAGTATGTAGGATATGGATGACCCGAGCAGCTACGTAATCAGGTTAAAACACATTTCAAATTAAAACTTGTTCTCCTCAGGAGGAGAACAAATGTTTTAAGTGGCAGATTTGCTGGGTTTCTTTTCTGGCAGCTCAATACAAAGACCAAGGAGACTTACTGTGTAGTGTTTTGTTGCTTCTCTCAGATGGAAGCCTTTGTGAATGTTAAAACTGTCAAACATTTTTACCTTGTTACGAGAAGTCTTACAATTTGGTAGAAGAGATTATATGTTGAGTGAAGATGGAACTTACCCTTCAGCATTTAGTTGTAACTAAATTTAAGATGAGCTTACTAGGGTTAAAAATAATATTTCCCCACCCGACTAAATTGTTTTATCCTCTAACACTCTAAATGGTGAGAGTCACTTTTGGTTTTTAAGCCTGCTGCCATAATTTGCATTACTATTTTTAAGAAAAGAAGACTGATATAATTAACATACAATAAAAGTCACCATTTTAGTGTATAATTCAATGATTTTTATTTTTTTAATCCTCACCCAAGGATATGTTTTTATTGATTTTTTTAGCCAGAGAGAGAGAGAGAAAAAGAGAAACATCAGTGTGAGAGAACCATCAGTTAGTTGCTGCTTGTATGTGTCCTAGCTGGGGATCGAACCTGCAGCTTTCGTACGTGCCCTGACTGAAAAACGAGCCTGCAACCTTTTGGTGTAGGGGATGGTGCTCCAACCAACTGAGACACCTGGCCAGGGCTAGTTCAGTGGTTTTTAGTACCGTGGTGAGGTTGTGCACACCTCACCGCTATTGAATTCTCTGAATGGTCTTGTTTTCATATTTTGATTGCAGCAAATCTGGAGTACATCTTCCCCCCAGAAACATACTTAATCAGAGTTGATTTCTACTGTGTACTGAGGTCCTCTTTTTTTTTTTTTTTAAGATTTAATTATTTTTAGAGAGGGGGGAAAGGGAAGGAGAAAGAGAGGCAGAGAAACATCGATGTGTGAAAAACATTAATTGGTTGCCTCTCACACATGTCCCAACTGGGGACTGGGCCCACAACCCAGGCACATGCCCTGACTGGGAATCGAACCAGCAATCAATCTTTCACTTTGAGGGATGATGCTCAACCAACTGAGCCACACCGGTCAGGGCATGGCCTCTTCATAATCAAACACAGGTGATTTTTTCTGCTACCCACTTCAGTTAAAAAGTTACCAGATAGTGAACCCCTCCGAAGGGCGTTTGGACAATGTCTAGGGGGAAACAGTGGTACTTCTAGAACCATCTGTCTTCCTGTCTTTCAGTCTTCCAGAGGGGTGAGAGACCAATTTTTTCCCCACTTTTTTTACTCTGTGAAAATAATAATTTTTTATTCTTTTCATGGTGTCTCTTGGGAAAAGGGATTCCATGGACTTATTTCTGAGAATTATCGATCTATCTGTCACTGTGACAGCATTTTAAGAAAACAAATAACATCTCCATTGCGGCAGAGTTGTTTTTCACGTGTGTCGGTGGTGTCCCCAACTAGATTAAAAAGTCCTTTGGGCAGGGAACCTGTCAGACGCTCCCACAAGGTCTCCGCAGGAGCCCACACAGCACGAAACGCAGGACTGGTGCGCGGACAGCATCCACGCAAGCTTCCCGCCCGAGTGGGGACTGCCCCCTACTGGTGGTCCGACGCCAGAAGGGTTATTTAAGAATCTCAGAACCTCGTATTTTGAACTACCTATTTTGAGAATCGTTACACATCCCCAAAAGGGGGAGGAGCGTAAAACAAACCAACCCTACGAGCTAGGCTCAAAGTAATGATGCCAATATTATTACTAACAATATAATTACTGAGAACAGAAGAGTGTTTCTGCTTACCCCACTAGGGATGGAGAGTTAAATTCCCGTGTCTCAAAGTAATGATACCAACATTATCCTACCTTGATCCTCAGCTTTCTTTGGCTGGTTTTTCTCTCAGTTTTGGGGGTTAAGGATCATTTTTAGGGTTAAATACAAAAAGGGGAGAATATAAAGAAGGGCTCCTTGGGTTTCTGTCAGTGGCAAACATGAGGCACGAGAAAGTACTCTGGGACATGGGGTCACACTGTAAATACAGGATCGGCGTAGAGGGAGCAGCATGGCACCGCCATTACTTCTCTGGAGCAAAGCCCGTCTCCACTAATGGTCGGAGGATGCTATTGGCCAAATTGTCAAGGCCTAGCCCTGACACAGGGTGATTGCTTGTCACTGGGGCCCAATGATCTCATTTGGTCACTAAACCTCTCTGTGCTTCATTAATATATAAAATGGTGATAAATTATAAAAACCTGCCCTGGCTGATGTGGGTCAGTAGGCTGAGTGCTGGCCTGCAAACTGATCGGTCATCGGTTTGATTCTCAGTCAGGGCACATGCCTGGCTTGCGGGCTAGGTCCCCCAGTAGGGGGCACATGAGAGGCAACCACACATGGATGTTTCTCTCCCTCTCTTTCTCTCTCCCTTCCCCTCTCTAAAAATAAATAAATAATGTCTTTATAAAACCTACTTCACAGATTTTCTGCGAAGATAAGAGAAAATATGTACTCAGTTATATTTCTTTCCTCTTCCCTCTCTTGCTACCACCAGGGAAACTGTGTGGGAAATTTGAACCACTTCAAAGATGGCAACCAAGAAGGCGGAGCCGGTCACCATCATTAGCCTTCGCAAGTTGAGCCTGGGAGCCCCAGAGTCACAGCCGAAAGGTAAGATGATCTACAAGTCACTGACCCTCAAGGTTCTGCTTAATTCTACCCCCTTCCCCATATTTACTAGTTTTTATAACAATGGATTGGTTTTCCAAAATCCTTTGGTGTGAGCAATAGTCCACACACATTTCCTTCCCACAGAGGCTGTTCTTTCTGATAGGGGAACTGAAGAGTTCAAGATTTTAGCTTCAGTTATAGTCCATAGGCTTAAGTGACTAATGCATGTGGAAAGCTGTTATTCCAGGCACTGGAATGCCTGATGCACTTGGCTCCAGGAGGTCAGACAAGCAATTCGGCCTTTATGCCCCAGGGGTCTGCAAGCTCAGATGGCATCTGAGCCACTGTGCTCCAGGGAGGGAATGTCCCTGATGCAGATAAAGAATTGTTGATCAGCAGATAAGGAAGAGCCAGAATAATCCACCCCTGGCTACAACTCTTACCCAATTAAACTTTTTCCAGCCCTCTTATCTACCCTTTTCTTCTCCCCATAATAAGGTCTGCTTGAGAGGAGATGTTAAGACAGTTTTTGAGGGTACCTCACCCACCATCTCCTCAGATGGCCAGCATCTGAAGGAAGTCCCGTAAAGATCCAGGAATCCTTGTCTCTCCTTATGGGTTCTGGTAGTGACAGGCAGCCCAGTCACGGACTTTTCCGGTTTCATTTTCTCTTTGCCTTTTCTTTTCAGAGTCAAAGACGTTCACCGTGGAAGATGCCGTGGAGACCATCGGATTCGGACGTTTCCACATCGCCCTGTTCCTGATCATGGGAAGCACGGGGGTGAGTGCACCGTCTGAGCCCCCACAGCTGTTTTATTCTGGGACAGTGAGTTCCCCAGACCCCCAGCCCAGGACTGGCCCTTCAGGGCAGGGTGTGGAAAGAAGCAAGGACTTTGTGAGGTGAACAATCCATAAATGATCTGTGTCCATCTTTGCCAAGTGCTAGGTTGTGAGCAAATGAATATCTATGTTCTGTGTTCCAGGAATTCAATACCCATGTTAAAAAATGTTGAACTTGAGGTACTGGGAAGGTAGAGGAAAGCTGCAGTATTATTCTGAGTTAAATCAGAAACATGATTCTCAGTCATTTTGTGCATAAGCATCACTTGGGACACATGTAGTAATGACAGATTTTCAGATCCTTTAAGGGCACTGATGAAGGTGTGGAGGGGGACGAGGCCTCTTCTGGCTGGTCTGTTACATAGGCATGGAACAGATTAGCGAGGGAAAATGACCAAATTTAATGTGTACACAGGAGCGGGGACCTTGCCTACGTGAGAGTCAGACACCCCACGTCAGAAGAGGATCCCAGATGAAGGGTTCCTCTTCCGAGCAAGGGTCGGGATAATGCACCTTGGGGACCTCAGAGGGTCACTGCTGGGTGACAGGAACAGAAGTAGAAGTTCTCCCTGCCCTATAGATAAAATCAAAAGAAGCTATCTCTGATCATCTCATCATGGGCCAGGCCCCCGATTCAAATCCTTCTAGGTTGTTAAAGGGAAAGGCAGAGGTTTCTCTTGAGCCTGACACTAAAATTGCCTTTAGTTCAAAGCCGCCTGCATATCATGGAGGCCCATCTTGGGGTGGCTTGTTCCGAATCCCACAAGGGTTTGCTATTTCGAGGAAAGAAGAGTGACGGCCAGCCCAGCAGGGGGCTCTCACAGACAGTGGATGTGCTCGGAAACCTCAGCGGCTTGCTCCTTTTGTAGGTGGAGTGAGAACATGTTACACTCCCCATAGGCAGATGCACAATGATAGGGTTAGTGAGACAGGATGGAAAATCTGAGGCAAGCGGTCAGCGTAGCAATGGTTTCGGGTGGGAGAAAAGGTAACTAAGAGGGAGACTGAGGGTCAACGCTAGAGAGCCCTGCCCCTCCCCATTCAGCTAAATGGTACGAGAAGAGAAGTGATGTGAGCTAGGTTCTGGGGCATCTCCCAAAAGCACTGGGGGGGGGGGGGAGGCGGGGCAGGCAAGGCCACACCCCCAGTCCTCCTTTCATAGTAACCAGTCCTACAGTGGCCAACATTTCCTCATCTATTAAGTAAGCTCTCACCTAGGCTCTGCCTTTTTTAATTTTAATTTTAAGAATACATTTACTAAAGCTGGGAGCAGTGAAACAAGGAGGGCTTAGGATGGAAGAAGCAACAGGAGCCAGGGCGGCGGGGATGTGCCGGCCTCTAGAAATGTTACCAGGAAGAAGCGAGCCAAAGCGGGGACGCTGTCAGCTCACTAGAAAGTCAGAGAAAAGGGGCCTTCGGACACAGGTTCAGGGGGTCAGCCTGGGACGAGCTGCTGCTGCGCATTGCCTCCCGGTTGCCAGTCTGGTGGGGATTCTTAGAGTTTAGGAGAAAGAATATTCACTCCGAACAGAGATTCAAGTGGGTGTGCCCCAAGGAGGGGGCTCCCTGGCTCTGATTTTTTTTTAACACCTTATTTGTTTATTTTTAGAGAGGGGGGAAGTAGAGGAGAAAAACATCAGTGTGTGAGAGCGTCATCAATTGGTTGCCTCTTGCACACCCCCATCTGGGGACCTGGCCCTCAACCCAGGCATGTACCCTGACTGGGAATCGAACTGGTGACCTTTCAGTTTGCAGGCTGGCGCTCAGTCCATGGAGCCACACCAGCCAGGGCTGGCTGCGAATTTTTAAGATTCTGTGTTTCGAGGGACAAGTGGGTGTGGATGAGTAGGGTCTTCTCATCACCTCACCTCCACTTTCCACCAGGGTATCTCTCCATCTTTTTGCATATTTGCTTTCTAGTATGCTTATTTCTTGGTCCGCTTGTTTAAAGAGTGTTAGACTCTCTGCCTCTTTTACCTTCGGATACACTGGGAGTCTGTCATTGCCTCCCCATATCAACCACACCGCCCATCCAGAGGAAGTGCGTCTCTGTTAGTTGTCTACATTGGAAAGGTAACGCCACGTGCTTCCTTTCCACTGTATCACCTCTCTGTCTGTAACCCATCGTCGGTCCGTATCCATGGTAACTGTACGTCTAGTGCGCCTTTACGCTTGATGTTGCTGTGAATTGGCTTTGGGTCCTCTTCAGTTTTTAGTGTTTCTGGGCCGCTTCAGTTCAACCCATCAGCAAGGAAGGCCTGTCTACCAGGACCCCCCTCCCACACCCACCCTCCACAGAAGCAGAGAGGAGTGCTTGTTTGGATGTGGCAGCCGCATTCCTTGCCTGGATTTTGGATGGTCTGCTTTGTGGACCAGGATCTTTTAATCAGCACAGACGTGTGGACCGTGATGGGCGGGCCCTGGCCTGGCCACGGCCTGGACAGGCTCTTGTTCAGAGACATTTGGGGCAGGGCTTCAGGGCCTCCTGGGACAGGCATGTGGGTAAGACTGTCCCAGCAGCAGAGGGCCCTCAGCCCGTGACTGGAAGTCCTGGTCTTCTCTAAGGTCTTCTTGTTCGGTGCTGCTCCTCCGGGCCCCTCCCTAGCTGACCAGTGTAAAACAACACTTGTCACCGGGAAGGGCTTCGGTGGATGGTGGCAGACAGCCCATGACCGACTGACCTCTTAGTGTTACAATGCGAGTGCAGGAACTCCCGACGTCTCAACGGAGTGTGTGTCATCAATCTGGGGACCGTTTCAAAAATGTTCAAGTCATAAATGTTGCATCAACGGGAGCCATGGGTTTACTCTGCTTCTTTACTCCAAATGCCAGTGCCGGCTGGGTACGCAACACTTGCTCCCTAAGTGGGGGAGGGGAAGGACGAGATGTGCATTCTGGGAAGACAGTGGACAGGCAGGTGGCCTGGGAAGCAGTGATGACGAACTAGCTCTCAGACGTGGGGTTTTCCCTTCTCCTTCAGGTTGTCGAAGCCATGGAGATCATGTTAATAGCGGTTGTGTCTCCTGTCATCCGCTGTGAATGGCAGCTGATGGACTGGCAGGTGGCGTTAGTGACCACGGTGAGTCCCTGCTTCCTGCTCTGCACTGAGCCAGCTGAGGCCCGGGGCTTCCACTCCTCTTCCCCATCCCACCTGGCTGAGAGCTGGATACCCGCACCCCCAACCTGGTCTGTCGGCTCTCTCAGCTCATGAGTTTGCAGGCCCCAACTAGCATTTGAGGCCTTTCTCCCCTTTTCCTTTACCCCCTATAGAGCATAACGTTGACTTGCTTATTTTCCAGCTCCTAGCAAAGGCCCCAAAGAAATAAATGCAAATCGGAGAGAAGAACTTGTAAGCCATGGGTTGGTTATGCTTTAACTATGAACTATTAGTTCAGATCACTAAGTGGTGACTTAGTGTGATAAGGGGACTTAACCAATCACCAAATCCCCCTCACTGGATTACTTGTGTTACATTTTCGACTTTTCTCAAAGACCATATAAATTGCTTTATGAATTGCACACCAAATTTTGCAGCAAAATGGAATCAAGGATATTATTATCTATGCTTGTTTCACAAGGCATTTAGTAGGCACCAATTCATTGCCAGCAGACTCTGTGTGCGTGTGCATGTGTGTGTTGGAGGGAAAACAGCAGTTCCATGAGAAAAACAAATTTTGTACATGTGGGAACTCCCCCAAATTTCAGACCCACCAAGTCGGACATTTGAGGCAGACATTTGAGGCTTGTACACTCAGCTTAAGGAGTGGGGTAGGGCCTGGGGCTTCAGAGGGGAGGGGGAGGAAGAGCAGGCGTTCTTATCATGCAGATAAAATGTCCAGATAAAAGTTATCTCTGATAATAGCTGTCTTCTAGGCCAAGGTCCTTATCTAAATTCTTCCAGGGAGAGAGTTGGTTTTTTATTTTCTATTTTGCTTTTTTGTTTTGTCTGCCTGGTCTTGATCGCCTTCAGCTCAAACTACTCCGAATGCCAAAGTGGCGCATTTGGGATCACTAATCTCCCCCTCACTGTTCTCATTCTCTCAGCTCCATTCCCCTCTTTAAAATTTCCTATTACTAATTGTTGCCCAGACTCCTGTAGTGTTTTTTTTTTTAAGCTGTCTCTAATACTTTTAGGGAAGAGATAGAGTATTAAAGAAAATAACCACAGATCTTACCTGGGTTTGTAATTAAGCGACTCTGCTGGGTTTTTTTTTTGCTTTCTTCCACCTCCAGAGTACAGTCCTTGTATCATGAGGGTGATCGCTGTGATGCTGTGTCTGATTATAAACACTCCACAGCTAGTGGGCAAGTCTTCATTCCTGAGAATATCGGAGAAGGTTGTATCACTCACTCCCAGGGAATTATATGGTTTCTCTGTTTACAGCTGACATTTCCCTGGTTGCATTTCTGTTGTTCTTATGCGTTCTCTAATGGCAGCAGTGACGTGGATAGGGGGAGAGTTGGAAAATTTTAGTTTGAGTGATAGCTAATAAGCTTTGTAATCAATGCATGTAAAAGCTTTTGTTCGAGGAACTGAAGGGATGACCCACCCTGACTCCAGTTCCCCCTTTGTTCTTCAGAAGGACTGCAAGCAACTCAAGCTGATATCTGAACCATTGTACTCCAGGGTGAGATGACCTCCGCCCAGGGCGAGAAAGCTGAAGTTGTTTTTTTTTTAATCCAATTAACTTTTCCCTGAATTCCAACACCCTTAACCTACACTTTGTTCTCCTTATAAAAAGGGACATTTTAAAATGGAATTTAGGATGATCAGTTAAAATTTGTTCAGCTCGCCAGCCATCTGAATAAAGCGCCCACAAAGATTCATTCGCTGTCATTGCTTGTTGGGCTTGGCAGTGGCGGGCAGCCAGAACGCCGGCATCTTTTCCCTTGTTAGGTGGGCGTCGGCCCCCAAGACTTTCCTCTGGGCACCTTACCTCCCCCAGAAGTGCCTGTTCCTGCCTCGAGTTCCTCACCTCCTCCTGTCCTTGGGTCTCTGTCATTTTCATTTTTGTTGCGAGCCTCATCAACTTTGGCAACCATCCCCTGGGCTCGCCGACCACAGCCTTGCTACTGAACCTGGAAAAGCCTGCGTTCGGGCTGCCCATCACCGCAGAACAGATGAGCAGAGACGGGGGTTGAATCTTTCGGGGACTTTATTCCGATGGCCAGGATCTGAGAGAGGGTGCATGATGTACCCTCACAGACCATCTTACACTTCCTGTCAACTCACCTTTTTTTTTATAAGGACGAAAAAGCGTAGGGGAGGGATTTGGAATCCAGGAAAGAGGTTACTCAGATAAAAGATGCTGTCTGTCAACTTCCCTAACAGCCTTTCATCCAGTGAGGTTGACGGGTGGTTTTCTCTCTCTGTGTCCTGGGTGAGGGATATCTCTCCCTGGAGCACAGGGGCTCAGGTACCATCTTGATGGCTCGTGGTCTCTTCTGCAGCACAAAGGTTGTCGTGCTGGCGGTCTCCTGGAGTCAAGGTGGGCCGAACCTTCAGTTCTGAAACAATAGCTTTTTACATGCATTACCTCCTAAGCTTATTCACTGTCACCTAAAACTAAAATTTCCCAACTCTCAAGTTTCCCCATCACCACCAGGAGGCGCCCAGCCTGACTACCAGGGAGGCCACATCTTTCCCATTGCTCAGGTCTTTCGCCCTCCGACTCCCCCTCCCCCTCCTGGACAGCCTGGCCTGATGGTTGTTAACCAGGCAACCAACCTTAGGGACTGGGGGTGGATTAGTCCCACATATTCTGTGGCTAATAGAGTTAGCGCCAATGAAACAAAACTTAATATGTGCATCAATCAGAAACAGAGTGGTCGTTTTTATTCTAAAAACAAGCTCTCGTGTACCTGCAGCAAAGAGCAGACCCTCAGAAGGGAGGGAGGAGAGAAAGAGTTAGTAGTTAGTTTTGTGTCTCTATTTGATTTCCCAACAGGATTAGAGTTCACAAGCTTTGGGGTTCGCATAGGCTTTCCGTCAAGGTTAATGATCCAGACAAGCTTACCAGTAACCCTGGAGAGTCATTTCTTTATACCGAATGAAAAGAAAACAAGAGAGAAAAGAAAAAAGATCTGCCACCCATGATGGAAGAGCGCAGAGTCTAATTGAAATTGAATCCTATTCGACCATATTCTTCACCTTTGCTCATCAGCCTATTTCGTTGAATCCAGTTGCAGTTTAGTCTATCAACACACCCCAGCATCTCAACAAAAAAAACTATTTTGTCCTTGGAAGCTGGCCTCTTGTTTTCATGATTCAAGCAGGTTAAAAGGGAAAATATTAGTTCTCCTTTCCCTTCTTGGGAGGAAGTTGGATAATTTTTGGTTCCACAGCAGACTCATGTGCTTATAGTGATGTTTTGGACCAGCGACGGTAGTCTCAGAAGATTGTAACAGAGCTCCAAGTTTCTGTCCCCAAGGGACGTAACATCACAACGCAACTCTTGACTCAAGTGCAGACAAACCCACTGCACTGCCAGTCATGTATAAGTACAGTACACACAGGTACAGTACCCAGTACTCGACAAGGATAATAAATGACTATGTTACTAGTTTATGGACTTTACTATACTTTACTTTTGATTGTTATTTTAGAGTGTATTCCTTCTAAATATATTTTTTAAAACTTTGCTGTAGAACAGTATACACGCCATCCTGGCGGTAGCCCCATCCATCATGTGTCTACTACGTGTTTTGGCAGCTTTGTTTTCCCTTGTACCCGATTTAATCTCGTGCTGTTTTGTGCAGTAGCAGGGTGTAGCCTGGGAGCACTGGTGTGCAGCACAGAGCCTCGATGTGCAGTGGGCCATACCATCTGGGGTCATGTGCGTGCCCTCTGTGGTGTGGCGTGATGACGGAATCACAACAATGCATTTTTCACAGTGTGTCCTCATCGCTAAGGGGTGCATGACTATAGAAACTTAAATTTCAGGGGAATCTAAACTTCAGGATTCACCAAATGATGCAATTTTTTTTTTTTACACTTGATCTTAGCCAAAAGGCAGAGAACTGATTTTTGATACAACTTTAAAAAAAAAAAATGTGAAGTAGCTGCCCTGGCCAAGTACCTCACTTGGTTAGAGCATCATCCGGATGCCAAGGCTGTGGGTTCGATTCCCAGTCGGGGTATACACGGGAAGAAACCAATGAATGCATAAATAAGGTAACAATAAATCAAGGTTTCTAGCACTCTCTCTATCTTAAAAAATCCATTAAAACTGAGTGGCTGATATTAAAAACCATATATGGCAACTAAGGTCATTAGAAGAAGAAAAGGAGGGAAAAGTTTGCCATCAACAGCCATCATCTTTGTTTCTTTTAAAATTATATTTAATTGATTATGCTATTACAGTTGTCCTGATTTCCCCCCTTTATTCCCCTCTACCCAGCATCCCCCACTCCCTCTGGCAATCCCCACACCATTGTTCATGTCCACGGGTCATGCGTATAAGATCTTTGGCTGCTTCATTTCCTATACTGCACTTTACATCCCCACGGCTATTCTGTAACTACCTATTTGTACTTCTTAATCCCCTCACTCAGCACTCATCACCCATTCTTCCACCCCTTCCCATCTGGCAACCATCAGAATGCTCTCTCTATCCATCATTCCATCTCTGTTCTCGTTTGTTTAGTTTTGTTTTTAGATTCACTTGTCGATAGATATGTATTATTGCCATTTTATTCATAGTTTTGATCTTCATCTTTTTCTTAAATAAGTCCCTTTAACGTTTCATTTAATAATGGTTCGGTGATGATGAACTCTTAGTTTTTTCTTGTTTAGGAAATTCTTTATCTGCCCTTTGATTCAAATGATAGCTTTGCTGGGTAGAGCAATCTTGGCTGTAAGTCCCTGCCTTTCATGACTTTGAATATTTCTTGGGAATCCTTTCTAGACTACAAAGTTTATTTTGAGAAATCAGCTGACAGTCTTATGGGAACTCTCTTGTAAGTAACTGATGGCTTTTCTCTTGCTGCTTTTAAGAATCTGTGTTTATCTTTAGCCTTTGGCATTTTAATTATGATGTGTCTTGGTGTGGGCCTCTTTGCATCCAGCTTGTTTGGGACTCTATGCTTCCTGGACTCATATGTCTGTTTTCTATGCCAAATTAGGGAAGCTTTCTTTCATTATTTTTTCAAGTAGATTTTCAATTTTTTGCTTCTAGCACTCCTGTGATGTGAATGTTGGAATGCTTGAAGTTGTCCCAGGGGCTGTTTACACCATCCTCATTTTTAAAAAAATATTCTTTTTTCTTCTTGTTCTGGTTGGTTGCTTTTTGCTTCTTTATGTTCCAAATCATTGATTTGATTCTTGGCTTCATCTACCCTACTGTTGTTTCCCTGAAAATTGTTCTTCTTTCCAATTAGTGTATCTCTCATTTCTGATTGGATCTTCTTTATGCTGTTGAGGTCCTCACTAAGTTGCCTGAGCATCCTTATAGCCGTGTTTTGAACTCTGTATCTGACAGATTGCTTTTCTCCATTTTGTTTAGTTCTTTTTCTGGAGTTTTGATCTGTTCTTTCATTTAGGCCATGTTTCTTTGTCTCCTCATTTTGGCAGCCTCCCTGTGTTTGTTTCTATGTATTAGGTAGAGCTGCTATGAGTCCCCATCTTGGTAGCACGGCCTAATGTAGTAGGTGTCCTGCAGGGTCCAATGGCACAGCCTCCCCTATCACCCAAGTTGGATACTTGAGATGCACCCTTTGTGGGATGAATACATACACCATCCTCTTGTAGTTGAGAATTGGTTGCTATTGGCAGGTCAATGGGAGGGATTTATCTAGGCCAGTCATTGCAAGGATTGGCTGTGACCACTGACCACCAAGGTCCACCCTCCGTGGAGTATCACCTGTGCAGGGCTAGGCTGGTGGTGTTTCAATGTGGTCTGTAGTTGTCCACTGAGCAGACAGGCTCTCAGATTTCCCTGGTGGTACAAACCAAGGTCAGCCCCCACCTGTCTTTTGTCTGGGGCCACCCTGCCTAAACTGTAGAGCAATCTGAGATGGTTTCTCCTTGTGCTGGGCTTAGAGATTCCAAGGTGAAGCCAAGCTGTGAATCTAGGCTGGCTGCTGCTAGTGCTGGGCCTGGGGCCACTTAGCAAGAGGTATGGAGGCTGGGGGCTCACTGATGCTCGCTATTGCTTGTTTGAAAGGATATAGGAAGTTGTGAAGTATGAGCCTGGACCAGCCACTCATATGGAAAAGCCAGTGTTCACAGTTGTAAGTTGGGTGGGATGGAGTTTCAGGGGATCTCCAGGGTGGGGCAAACAGTATTAGCCAGGTTGATGGAGTTTCGAGTATGGCAGCTGCCTGCTGGCTCTCTGGCTCTGTGAGGGGAGGGTTCAGAAAAGGGACAGTGGTCAGCCTGCCGCCTTGCACCCTCACTGGGTCTGCCCGTTGCTACCCCACACCTGGGATCCACCAACCACCGCCCACACCTGGGTTGGTCCAGGGGATCTTTCCTGCCCGACCCTGCTCCGCTGCTGGCTCCGCCCCTCTTACCGGTCTGGCTGAGTGGTTTGTTGTTATCAGACTTCAGTATAGTTCAATTTACTTCGTTTTGGCTGTGTTCTTGTTACTAAAATTTTGTTGTCTTTAAGCTTGGTTGTGCGAGGAGGCACAGTGTTTCCACCTACGCTTCCATCTTGGCAGAAGTTCCATGTGTGAGTTCTTTAAGAGGAACTGCTTGGGGGTCCAGAATTTTATTCCATGGACTCAATCCCCCTGGTTTTTACAGCCAGAAATTATGGGGTCTTTTCTTCCTGGCACTGGAATCCTGGGCTGGAGGCCCTGGTGCGGAGCTGGGATCCTCACTGACAAGATATCCTTCCCAAATTTTTAGCCACCAGGCGAGGATGTGGGACCAGCCTGTTCCATGTGTCTGCCCCTCCTACCAGTCTGGACAAATGTTATTTATTTAATTCCGTAGTTGGCAGACTTCCATTCCACTCGAATGCTGATGGTTCTGAGTGATGGTTGTCCTATAATTTAGTTGTAGTTTTGATGTGGTTGTGCGAGGAGGCAAGCCATGTGTGCCCAACATTTTTCAAAAAACAGAAGGGCATGCCATCAGAGATCAAATTATCTCAGAATGAAAAAAAGCCCTTCATATGTAGTAAGTTTAGATTTATGCAAAATGTATCACACTTTCCTTGTTCTTAGTGTTTTGCAGGGGACTGATTTGAGTTCATTATGGGTAAGGAGGTATCCCAGGACTGGCATTGAGAAAACACTCTTCATTTCTATCCTGGAAAGAATAGTGCAGAGGAAACACAAGGCTTTTGTCATTCAAGAATAGATATGATTTTTTAAAATAGTTCCCTGTAAAAGAAATGTGTCTGTGTATCTTTCTTGTGAAGAGTAAGGAAGAGAGATAAGGAGAAAGCAAAGTAGGCAGCAGAGAGAAACAGATCTTCTTCATCGAAAAAGTGTTAGCAATGCCAGCTACCACCTTCCCTCTGATTAACCTGGAAGCAATCAGTCAAGGATGGTATTAGAAGGCAGAGCAAGTTAAGTTCGGAGCTGCTAAAGGCAGAAAAATAAGTCACCCGAAGCATAGACATTAGATTATAACTCAGGCTGAGTTAAAATGCTGGTATCACATCCAGGTTCCTGAGTTTTCTCAGGGTGGATCACATCACTGTGAGAACACGTAAGGAAAACGGGTTTTTGTATTAGATCTGAAGAGTGTTTCTAAATGGATGAATGGTTTTGGTATTTGTTTAAAGTTCATGTTTATCTGTAATAACACAGAGGAGACTGCTTCTAGAAGTCTCACCTCATGTGCAGAATCGGAGTATGAATGGAGTTTTTCGAGTTATTAAAATGGAAATTCACAATTATACACCTGAGTTGATAGGGCCAATCCATCATCTTCCATTGCAGAAAAAGCAGTTACCTGTTCTTTTCACCTGTTTCCGCCTGGTGGCAGTGTTTCCAGGTGGGAGCTCCGCCTCCCAGGCCCTGAACGGGAGTCAGGAGTCGGGGCAGGTCTGTGTGAAACCAGCTCTTCGCCTCCAGCCCGTGCACGGTGCTAATCCACCTGCAATTCAGACGGATGCCAAATGCAGTAAATTGGCAGGTTATGACAACTCTGCTTAGTGGACAATTTTTTCTCACCCTACTTCTAGATGGTGTTTTTCGGCTACATGGTCTTCAGCATCCTCTTTGGCCTCCTGGCTGACAGATACGGCCGCCGGAAGGTAGGTTGGCCCTGAAGGATGATTTGCAATTTTCTTTGTCGGACATTTCTCTACCGATGCCCAAGATCGAAAGTGTAGACGTGTCTTCTTCTGACATCACATGCCTGAATTCCAGGCCCGTCTTCTTGCTTTCTCATCTTTCCTGAGGCACCTGTCCCTGTACTTGGTCCCCATAGTCCAGGAACCGAGTTGATGGAGGTGCATAGTTAGAACATATTAGAATGTGGGAACTTGCACAGAGAAACATAGCAGGTTCCATTAGTTAACTGTGAAACGGAGTCATTTGCCCACAGTCACCCACCTACGGAGATGAAACATCCAACCAAATCGATGTCTTCTGGTCTCAAACCCAGGTCTTGTCTGTTTTCTCATGGGGCAGGCCTCACTAAGCACACAAGCACAGGGAGGAACTGCAAAGGAAAACATTCGTAGAATTGGCTGTATGTTTTGAAGTACACAAAATAAACATGTACAAATAGTTAAGAAACCTTAAACGGCTTTTAACCACAGGAGTTATCAAAAGCAAAATTGTGTAGTGTCAACGAGAAGAAATGTGAATCTCTTCACATTTAAGAAGGAAGATGCTTTGGGTCTTACTGAGGGCTACAGCCCAAGAGCAAGGCTTCCGGAAGCCTGACACGGCACTCCGACTTCAGAGAAACAAGTGGCACTCGGAGAGGCGGAAAGAGAAGCAGAAGTACGCTGGGCGCGTCGGAAGCTCGGATGGGGGTACGCACGTTCCAGCCACTGCAAGTGGAAGGGAACACGTGAGAAAGACAAGGTGGGAGCATCGTGGCGTCCGTCCTGGAAAAGACGTACAGGACAGATCAGGCCGGGTCTGGAAACAGTGGAATTGCGTTGGAACCATTGGAGATGCGCTTTTAGGTGGATATTGTGTGAACAGACACTGTTTTCTGTCATTGACTTGGTGGATGAATAGGGGCCTCGTACTAAGCCTGACAATCTCAGGGGAGGCCAGTGTGGCGCGAGTACAATCTCAGAGACCTAAAGTCATCACAGAGGATGGTCCGAAGTTAAAACTTTCTAACTAACAGCAGGTCATGGTGGGCAGTCACGTCTCAGGCTAGAATCTTCCCTGACAAAAGTCAGTCTCTACCTTAACTGAGCCTGTCTGCTGCCCTCTTGCTTCTGCGGTAACATTCCTTTGGAATGACAACTTTCCTTTATCCAGATTCCTCGGAGCACAGGTACTGCACCTCAGGGAGAGCACAAATCCTCTCCTCGTTGCTGTTATCCTGTTCATTGTTGACTGTGAGCTATCTCGTAGCCGCTTATTATAAGAAGCATGTGTCTATCATTTTACTTTTTACCCAATCCCGGAGTTCTCCCTCCCACCACTGTGCTTTCTCCCGCCTCCATAAGCTACCACCAATAGATTTCACGTAACCCACTTCTGTCTTCTCTTTCCGTTGTAATGGCGAAGGTGCAACACTGTCATTTCCTGCAGCATTTTCTCAATTTGTTGAGGTTTTGCTTCCTGGTAATTGTCATCAGTTTGGCTCAAATAAACTCATAAACATTGTTCACAGGTCTGGGCATTTCTTACATTGAGCACGTTTCGCTGTGAAATGTGCAGGAGGTGAGGCTGGACTTGGTGGTGTGCGCCTCGGCGTGAAGCCGGAGGAGGCTCGCTGCTCCCTCTCGGTTACTCTGTTAGCCAGACTAGCGTAAGCCCCTGCTTATTTCCTCAAAGGCCAGGTATCATTTCTTTCTTATCAAATCCATTTCAAACATCAAATTCATCTGGAATTTTTCATGAAGAGACCTGCAAATGGACAGGTGGCCTCACATACTATTGACATTGTTTTTTCTAACCACGAGAATATCCACCCTCATCTGAGTTTCATTCCAGAATTCCAGCCTGTTTAGATTCTCAGAGAACCAAAAAGATGTATGTGCATTCATCACCACAGCTCATTTTAATAGAAAATGTGAAATCACCTCAACGTTCAATACTAGGGGAAAGGCTTATGCATTATATCACATGTGTTACAGTACATCTTTCCAATGGAATATTGTACAGCCATTGGAACAGGGAAAATAGGCTAAAATCATGGCAACAGTATTTTCTCTGGGTTGGAGAGTCAGGGGTGATTTAAGTAGCTTGGCTCTTTTTGGTTTTTCTTCTCTCATATTTTCTACTATACACTTGTGTTCTTGCAATTAGACAAAAAGCAAACACCCCCGATTTTCCTCCTTTCACCCACTTCAATGCAAAGCCTCCTGTGCCCCCAACGCCCTAGTGAGCAGGGGAGGGCAAGGCTCTGAGTTCTGGGCGCAGCTGGGGAATTTCAAGAAACGGTCTATGAATGAAACATCAACAGCTCTCACAAATCTGACAAATCCAGTGAGCTCAAGTGACCTCCCCGGGCCATCTGGTCACAAATTCCTAACAAGGCAGTCCCGCCCAGGCCTAGAACTTCCTCAGTGACAGGTTTATCTTTGCTTTGTATTTGTGCCTCCAGGTTAACACACCCGTGAAGTTTTAAAGGGATCCTCTTTTCTACATCCCTTGGGGGCAGAGCTATTCTCAGTGAGGGCAAACTCCCTGATAATCCAGCCTAAGAGATTTCCCCGCCTGGCTTTCTTTTAACTGCCTACCTTCCTCCTGGTCCGGCCTTCATTCCAAGTGTGTAGAAGGAACCCCCAAAGCTGTACTTCTCCAGAGCATCTGCGATCTTGCTCCCCAGCGCCCGTCACCGTTTGTCTCCAATAAACTCATAAAAATTCTCTGCCAGTTTGGAGGTTCTCCCGTCCACCCAGTGTGGGGCTTTCAGACAACAGAATGTCCTGGCGGCATTGCTGGGTGACCATGAGAGATCAGCGAGCGCCCAGGGAAGCAAACAGCTGGGCGGAAACGGCAAATCACCTTCAGAAGTTAGGTTTTCTCCCCTGTCCGCTACGGAGGCAGGTCCCACTAATACGTTTCTTTTTGTCAATTCAGATTTTGTTCATCTCGTTCCTGTGGGGAGCCTACTTCTCCTTGCTGACCTCCTTCTCTCCCTCGTACATCTGGTTTGTCTTCCTGCGGATGATGGTGGGCTGTGGCGTGTCCGGCCATGCACAAGGGTAAAGGACAGACCTGGAGGGCCCCCAGGGGAGACACACATACAGTCACTCGCACGTACGTGGACGCTGTGGTTACTAGGTTAACAGCGTCAATAAGTTGCCGATATGGACTTTACCTGTACTAAGTATTTTTTAGCTTTTTTTGTTTGTTTAAAGCGATGGCCGCTTATTCCTCTAGTTGCTCCTGGCCCATCCAAACGATGTCTGATGAGCAGGCTAGCAGACTGCTGGATTGAGCAGGCAGCAGCTTATTTGTTCCAAAGGTTATTTGGTATTTTTTTAGAAAAGTACTATTTTGTTAGACTAAATGCTAAACCAAAAATGTGAGCCCCCAACCCAGCTTATTCGTTTCTTGAGAATTTGTTGGGAGAGTATAGTTTGACCCTGAGCACCTGTAACGCTTTGGAGTAACCATTTACAAGGGCCGTGGCCCTATGATTTAGACTGTCAAACGAATCTGCAAAGCCGGGTACACGGTATTGAAAGTTGGCCTTGGATGAGTGTGCAGTATCTTGTGCGGGGGTGTGAAAGGGGTGATGCTAAATTTTCAGCAATTTGGGAGCTTCCCTTAAATTAACAGGGACCCTCAGGCTCTTCTCTCCTGGGCACCGGAGAGCAAGGTCCCTTAGAATCTGTTAGGAGACGTCAAAACACCTATTTGTTGCCTTAGTGGGTTAGGGAGAGAATTGATCTTCCTTGGTGCGTAGGTTAAGCATCAGTCTGAACTTTGCAGCCCTGGACAAGTAGATCAGGCAGAATTTTAGGGCATCCCTTAGAGAGAAACCAAGTAAATACACATATTTAAAACCCCAGGCCCTTGCTTGTGACTGCAACAGAGAAGAACAGTGAGAACTCTGATGGAACATTATGTTTCATTTATTCTTCTGTTCACAGAATTAACCTGGACGTAATTAGAAACCTGCGCATTGGCTGCCATCATTAGTTGAGGAAACTCCCTGTGGTTGGTTGGTCGTTGATTTCCCAAGAATATTTTAGAAAAGAGAATCAGACCTGGAAAAGCATTTCCAACATTTCTCTCAGCACAAGAGAGAGGCTGATATCCCTTACATAGTAAGAGATAACTGGGAATAAAGAACTTGGACTTCCTCTAATTTTGGGAGTAAGAATGTTCATGTAACACTGGGAATAGAAATGTTAACAGAAGAGCAGTTTTAAGTTGGCTTCTCATTTTTCTTATGTGGATATTAGCTGTGTTCACTTAAAAGCCAAAAGCCACAAGCCACAGTGAGAGGCAACAAATCGTTTATTTAATCCAAGAGAACAGGTATTTGGGAGGCACCAATTCGGGCAAAAACCCAGCGTTCCAGTTGGGAGGTAAAAGCAAAAGGAATTTATAAGAAAGGGAAGGGAAATAATTACGTGACTAGAAGGAGGAATTTCTTTGGCTGCAGATAAGCTAAGCAAGGAATGTCTATAGGCACAGATAAGCTAACACAGTGACCGATTCTAAAGAATGACTTCAATTTTCTCCTTTCCTGTTATCTCTGTGAATAGTTGTTTGGAAGACAGAGCTGCTTCAGGCATGGTCCAAAGGTCATTTGCCCGGTTTTTAACCTCCCAGAGGTTTGAGAATAAGATGCTCAAGGCGGTCCTTCCAGGGTGGAGCTCCAACTCCATTGTGAAGTTGCCCCATTTATATCATTTTTTTACAGCTGTAACATTACATTTTGATGTATGAGTGCCTAGGAAAAACTCTCTTCTGTTTTTCTTTAACACTTTGCACCGTTTCTGAAAATACCTCACTTCTGCCAACGGTGTGGATTTTTTTTGCACATCAACCTCTCTGGCTCCAGCTGGGTGCCCCGAAATTCAGTTCCAACCTGAACTGGAGTGAGAGCAGGTCTCAAAGGCCGCCCCCGCCCCTGCCTGCTTCACACACCACTTGCAAGTTGTAGGTCTTCCTACCCACAGCTTCTGTCTGACTTGGCTCCAAATCAGAAGTTCCACAGACCCCTTCTTGGGTTTGAGAATTTGCTTGAGTGGCTGACAAAACCCAGGCAAGCAGTTTACTTACTATTGCAAAAGGATTATTTATTATAAAGGATACAAATGAACAGCCAGATGAAGGTATACATAGGGAATGGTCCAGAAGGGTTGGGAGCCTTGGAGCTCCTGGCCGCGTGGAGTTGGGGCCGCCCTCCCGGCACGTGGATGGATGTGCTCCCCAAACCAACACTCTTTGGACACCACACTTTGGGGATTTTCATGCAGGCCCCACCATGGAGGCATGGTGGGTCACTAACTCATTTTCCAGTCCCTCTTCTCTCTCTGGGGGTCGGGGTAGGACTGAATGTTCCAAGTTTCTGACCATGGCTCAGTCTTCCCAGTGACCAGCACCCACCGAGGAGGATGCTGAGAATGACCTCTTTGGAACAAAGTGGTTCTCTTGAGGCAGGAAAGTCAGAATAGGGAACAAGGGCTTGAGGCCCTACCCCTTTTTCTCCATTTTGGCTGGAGCATCACAGACCACTTCCTACCCTCCCCGCCCCCCACCCCACCCAATTTCCTATAATTGGGAAACCCGAAAAGAAATCGCTTTCTGGAGAGGAGAGACAAGGACGAGCCATGCAGGCAGCCTCCTCACCAGCCTCGGAGGCAGAGGACCACCCTGCCGACCCCTCTGCTCATGTTTAATAGCAACCATCCCCCCAGACACCCCTGGCGCATCTAGTTCTCCAAGTTGCCTGCTCTCATTTTTTGAGTGCGTACTGTTGCTTTCATAAACTTATGTGTTTTGCTGAATCTTTCTGTCCTGCTCTTGAATTCCTTCTTGTTCAGAGACAGGGACCTGGATCGGGTTGAGGTCTGCCTTTGGCCTCCGCAGGCACCTCCCAGCGCCACTGTGATCCAGGAAATGCCAGGGTTTCAGGAGGCCAGAGTCAAAGAGCCAGTGTCCGCAGGAACCAGGGCAGAGACCGAGACGCGTCCTTCTCAGCAGTTCTCTGTGACGAACGTCCGGGTTTTCTAGTTCTTTCTCCGTGACAAGAAAAATTATGATGGTTAGAATATGTTCTTGGGCTTCATAACAACAAAATTATGTTTTCTCCCCTTCCCGTTTCAGGCTAATCATAAAGACTGAATTTTTGCCTACAAAATACCGAGGCTACATGCTTCCCTTGTCGCAGGTAAGGCGATGCAGGAATCCTTCCCAGCCTTCCGCTGCCAGAGACCAGGAGGCGCCCGATTAGCACACCCGGATTGCCGGGTACCGGCCGAAGGGCATTCGAATGCCTGACACCGAAGCCCAGTTGCAGGGCTTTCCGAGCCAGGTCCTCTCTCATCCCCAGCAGCATTTGGAACACAGCGCCCCCTTCCTCAACAACCAGGAACGTTCCACTGGCTGACTTGGCTGGGGTGACGGAAGTCCCAGAATGCACCTGGGTTGAACTGTCTCTGTGCAGGGACACAGCTGCCCCCGTCCTCACCATGTCATTTCCCTGCCAAGGATACTGGTGTCTGCCAGTCCGTGATTGACCCACGCCTGTGGGAACATGCCATACCGCCACCTCCCTGATGAGCCGTTTGTCCGGGTGAGAAGCCTGGGCGCTCTCAGGCCCTCTGCAGACCCTGCTGGCCACTAAGGAGAGGTTTTGCATCCAGAAGCCACGTCAGTCTGCATGTCCTTGTCCCACCTTTGAGGTCATCGTCATCCCCAACTGCCGACCTTTCAGGGGTCCCAAGAAAGAGGCCACCCTTCCCACTGAGCATTATATATTTGGCAATAAATAAAGTCGTGTAGGGTATTGCTTTTAAATTTACTTTTCATTTTTCTGATACCAAATTTAGGCAATGAAAATAACAACAGAGTATTAGAACCTATAACGAACACTGAGTAACTCTTTCCATTCCTCCAGACGCCGCCCTCTGATTCTCTGTTGACACAGATGCGGGCACCTTCCGTCCTTAGGGGCTGGACTTTCCATTTAACGTGACTTCACTGGTCCAGTCCTGCTCAAGGTCACCTGCGGATGTTTTCTCTCACACCCGCCATGCGTTCCTTAGCGTGCTTGCTGGTTATGCGTTGTCCTGACTTGTCTTGTTTTTCAGGTCTCCTCGGGTCATCTGATGTACTCTGATGTGTTCAGCCAGCTCTGTGTATATTACCTCCCCCCCAAATCTTTATCCACAGCCGAGAGTGCCCCCTTGACCTTCAGCCCCAGGTGGCCAATCACCTGATAGAGACTTGAATATCCTACAGGTCTCTTAAACACAGCATCCAGAGACCTAACCTTTTCATCTTCCTCTCAGGACTCTCAATTTGCTTTCAGGTGACAGCAAACCCTGTCCCTCAGTCATCTGAGCCACAAACTCAAGAGCCATCCTGGACCCCTCCCTGGCCCTCACACCCTACGATTCATCCCCCACCCCCCTCAACAGGTGTGCTGTCTCATCAGTCCCGTCCCTTTTACCTCCAAAAGGTGTGCCGTGTCCATAAGTTTAAAAAAACAATTTGGGGGGTCATTTCATTACTACCATTTTTTCAGTGCCACATCGCCTGTAATCTGGCAGCCTGCAATGGTTTGTCACCTTCAGGAAGGTCGTCCCTGGTCACTCAAGTCACTCGCTGTCACATGACTCCGTTTCTGTAGCTCTTATCACTACCTGAAGTCATCATGTTTGGGGTTTTTTGGAGTAGAATTCCTTGATGATGAAATAGTCACCCCTAAGTGGTCCCCCAAAGGAGCTTTTATAATATTAATCTTCTCTGTGAAGTTATCATTTATTCTCTGTCTTGTGAGAGGAACTAATTCTTGCTCAAAATTGTCCTCATTTCCAGCCCGTAAGGCCTGGATTGGCTGCCGTGTTATTTGTTGATATCAAATGATCTCCAAGTTATATTTTTTAGTGTGGAAAGCCAAGTATCAATCCTTATTTTTACTATGGTACCGTTTGTGAGAAAAGAGAACGTAATACTATAACTTTATTAGCTTGGGACAGCCTTAGAAGGATGTAAAGAAAACCGATGCTTCTTCCTTCTGAGAAGAAAAACTGGACGGCAGAGAGCTAGGAAAGGAAAATCTTTTTACAGGTTCTCTGTACCTTGAGTTCCGAACAAATGCATCATTTATGGGGGAAAACAAAAGTCAGTGCCTGGGGCCCCAGATTTTTAAAACTTTGGTGGCATCATTGACCCTCGGTCTAGCTGAGTGTCCCCCACTCACAGACAAGCAGACAAAGCCCCATTTCGGAGGGACCTTCCCTGTTCATCCAGGTCCTGGGTGGACCCAGAGCCCCGGCTCCTCAGCCAGACCCTCTTCTGGCGGTGACACGCTGGACGGGGCAGCTCCGAGGGAGGACACCGTGTGGAGCACGTTGGAGAGGAGCGACTTCACCTCCCACTCTCGCCCCAGGTTTTCTGGCTCGCTGGCTCCCTGCTCATCATCGGCCTGGCCTCTGTGGTCATCCCCACCATCGGCTGGCGCTGGCTCATCCGCATCGCCTCCATTCCTGGCATCATCCTCATCCTGGCCTTCAAGGTGAGGACGCTTGTGGGGCTCCCCCCCGACCCCTGTCCCTCCCCCCAGCTGGCGCAGCCCCTTTCGGCCTCACGCCCACCTCTTTATTCAAGTCTCCATCTCCTTCAGCGTGTGTGGAAGGGGCTTGTTGGCAGGACTCACGTGCCAGCCTGTCTGAAGGTGTGAACGTGCAGAATTCGGGGGAGAGCAGGAAGGCTGGGTGGCTGGGGTGAGGGGTGCTGGTGGGGGGCTGGCAAAGCAGGCCTGTGTCCAGATGAAGAAAGGCCTCGCAGGCTGGGGGCACTGGGAGGTGTGAGAGGGGTGACGTGTTGGGAAGCTGGCCCCGGGCCGGGTGGAGCCCGGGCAGGAGAGCAGGTAGAAAGTGCCAGGTAGTCCCCGTGGAGATGAGGACCTCAGCTGCCCACTGGCTGTGGGGACGGGGGGTGGGGTGCTGCTGGGGGAGAACCAACTGGCCTTGACTTGGTGAGGGGCAGGCGCAGGCGCAGGGGGTTCTCCAGGTCCCGGCCTCGGTGTTGCTCACAGTGTCCAGCAATCAGCGGGGCAAAGCGCTCGGCCTCTGGGACTGGTTCCTTCACCTTGTGGGCGCTGGAGGTGCCCGCCGTGGTCACCCTTCAGGTTGTTGCATTGTGGGGAGACCCTGGGACCCCTGCAAAGGGCTGGGGTGACAGAGCAGCGGTGGGGCACAGGGGGCTTTGGGGCAGTGGGTATTTTACTAACTGTACGTAAGAAGCTCATTGTATTAATAAGTACTTGAACCAAATTGGTATGAAGGTCGGTATCAGCCTGTTATCACCCAAGATGAGACTGATAAGGAACATACGACCCTTTTGCCCCCAACCCACCCGGGATGCAGGAGCGTGCCTCTTACACTGTGTGCCGTGTGCCTGCTATGCCCTGGTCCGTCACTGGAAACTGGGACGCTGTAGTTAGAGTTACGGAGTCATACGTAAGCTGTATCCTTGGGGTCTGCAGCCACTGCAACTCTGGTGTCCTCCTTTGTCACCTGCGCCCAGTTTATTCCCGAATCTGCTCGGTTCAATGTCTCCGCCGGGAACACCCAGGCCGCCCTGGCCACGCTGCAGCACATCGCCAAGACGAACCGCGCGGCCCTGCCGGAGGGGAGGCTGGTGGAGCCCGTCCTGGTGAGCGCCCAGAGGGGAGGTCTTCTCCCGACACGTCCCAGCCCCTCTGTGGGGCCGCCCGGAAATCCCCGGAGTCGTGCAAGGCTAGAGGGCGGGGGGCCGTGGCTCTCTCGTCCTGCCCCTGGGGGGACAAGAGAAAAGAGCAGAGTGGACGGGACTAGATCCGGCTCCGCCACAGAGCCCTGGTCAGTTACCCACCTTCACTTTCCTCATCTATAAAGTGGGCATAACAACACCTACCCTGCGGAGCTTGTCACAGGATCAGCATCATTGGCGACAGATGAGAGATGGTTTTATAATATAATTTTCTTGTACTGGCCTTGTCTTATTTTGATATCAAAGTTATAAACCTCTTAAATGATTTTTTAAAATCTATTTATTTGTTTTTAGAGAGAGGGAGAGAAATATCAATGTGTGGTTGCCTCTTGTGCACCCCCTGCTGGGGACCTGGCCTGCAACCCAGGCATGTGCCCTGACTGGGAATCAAACTGGTGACCCTTTGGTTTGCAGGCTGGCGTTCAATCCACTGAGCCACACCAGCCAGGGCAAGTTCTTGTTCTTTTTTGTCTGACCTGTTTAGCATGATATTCTCAAGATCCATCCATCACAAGTGGCACGATAGCCTCCTTTTTTGTGGCCAAGTAGTGTTCCGTCACATACGTGTGCCACACCTTCTTTATCCGATCAGCCGAATACTCTTCAGACACCACACACCACCTTGCTGTCTCAGGGTCCTTCAGTGGCCCCCACAGGCTACTGGGTGAAGCCCAGAATCCCCCTCCTGGCTTTAAGGTCTTCTGCAATCTTCATGGGTCAGCCATCTGACCCTTGGGTCCATGGCTAAGTGCCGGCGTTGGTACCCTACAGACCTCATCTTAACTTAATCACCTCTTTTAAGGCATGATCTCCAAATACAGTCACACCCTGGGGGTTAGAACTTCAACATATAAATTTGGGGGGGACACAACTCCCATAAAACCACCCCCCCACCCTGTCTATATCCTCAAGCCCCTCCATCCTCCATCCCCTCCTAATCCTTCTCCTCTGTCTGCCGCTCACCCTTCTTCCCTTTGCATTCCTTCTCTTGCCTGCAGCTCGCAGCCCACCCTTCCTGCCCATTAAATGACCTTGTCCTCCTCAGTCTCTTGTGCAAGGCTCTATGGCTGCAGAGATCCAAGCAGTAGGTGCTGCCTGTTACAACCTTTTACAGTCTGATTAGAGAGATAAGACTCACATGGGGAAAGAATCAATGACAACAAAGCCCAGGCGCTTAGAACCAGGTGAGCCGTGCAGGCGGCGGGTGGGTGTAGGATCAGGGCAGAGAGGAGACCGTGAGGCAGGACAAGCCACCTTCAGGCACAGGTGGGACATTCACTGAGCGATGGAAGGAGAGGAGAGAAGCTACCACAGGCAGAGGACGGGTGTGAGCCCCACCCGAGGCAGGGATGTGCCGTGGGTTCGGTCCCATCGGCTGCAGTCAGAAGCCACGTGGAGGAGGCCGGGCAAGACGCTGCGGGCAGTGGAGCCTCCGAAAGCTTCACGCCAAAGACTCTGAGTTGAGAGGCCCTGGGACTGTTTGAGGAAGGGCCTCCCCAGGATGATTGTAGCCAAAGGTTCTGCTCTGAATGACTCGTTAGGATGAAATTTATGATTCATTGGGATTCACTATAGATTCGGCTTCCTTTCTCTTCAGTGAACTTGGGGACATGGGGGGACCATAGTCACGTCTAAACCAAGGCAACACAGCAGAGAGTTCGATGGCCAGTACTCAGGACTTCTGTTCCGGAGACGTGAACTCCTCCTGGCTGGCTCTGCCTTCCAGCAGCTGTGTGATCTTGGGCAAGACGCTTACCCTCTCTGGGCCACGCCTTCTGTGTTGGACAGTGGGAGGATGGGACTAGATTGGAGGCTCCAATGGTGAGTGACCAGAGCCTCAGCGTGTAAAACCTACAAAAGTGAAGTGTCGGCTGCTGCTCTCCACCCGCCAGGACCTCCAGGAGCTCAGGTCCCCGGAGCAGAGGGCCTCTCAGTTCCTTCAAGCTCTTCTGTGGGAGCAAAACCCCGAGCCCGCAGACCACCCTCCTGGTCTCTCTCACGGGTACCGGTGGTCCTGGGTCTGTGTGTGAGGAAAGAGTACTTGGTTTTCACCTGAGAACCCCCAAAGTTCCCCGAACTGTACGTAACACCCATTACTGTCCATTACAGAAACTCACCCTTATTTACTTTTATCCAGAAGTATTTAATAGGTCCCGACTGCAGATAAGAACTATTGCAAATTACCCTAAAGACACAAAAAGAAATTGGGTACCCTATCCTCTCAGATTGACAACGTTTTTTTTTTTCTTGAAAAAGCCTCACACTCTTTTTAGATGTTAGGTTTTTCATTTTGATGTCATTATGAAAACAATCTCCCATCAGTTTTGCAGTTGTTTTCACACATCCTCCTATTTCCCACCACACCCCTTGCCAGCACCGGTGAGAAGACAGTGAGTGGAAGGGTTAGAATCACAGACTCAGCGCGGGTGGGTATTGCCAGGGACAGTGCGTGTGTAAAATGAGTGTGTTAACAAGGACTTGGGTGAGGCACACTCGTGGGTGCTCGGTGGCGATCTCAGCCACGCATCCTGTGTTCTTGTTTTTAAATGCTTTATTAATATTTAATATCTAAAGTATTAGAGACATTGTTGCTGTCCTTAACCCACTACGCCTATCTTGTCTCCCCCTTTCACTGCCCCAGGACAAAAGAGGAAGGTTTGCAGACCTACTGGATGCTAAATATTTACGGACCACGTTACAGATCTGGGTGATATGGTAAGAATGTTGTTACTTCAAAATGAATTTTAAAGAAAGAAGCATTTGGAGAAAGACTACTAAATGCCGTTGGGGAGAACATAAGAAAGATCCCAGCAATCTCTTATCTTTTTACTAATACCACCAACCAAAGGAATATATAAAATAACAATTTTTTACAAATGGAGAGAAAGAAGGGAATGCTATTTGTCTGGGAGGGGTGTCCAACCCATGGCCCATGGGCCGCAGGTGGCCCAGTTTGGCTGTAAATGCGGCCCGACACAAAATTGTAAATTTACTTAGAACATTATGAGATGTTTTTGTTCTCGTTAGTGTTTGTGTATTTAATGTGTGGCCGAGGACAACTCTTCTTCTTCCAGTGTGGCCCAGAGACGCCACACAGTTGGACACCCCTGGCCTACATTTTTTTATTGTTCATCCTGGCACGGTCTGCTGCTCACCGTCACAAATCCGCCTAATGGCCACAGTTAGAGGCCGACCATACCAGGGTGTAGGAAGGGGGTACAGTCGCTGGGAGTTGCGTACATGGCTCATTAGAGTTCAAGTTGGTGCAACCACTTTGGAAAACTTCTGGGAGATACGTCCATCACAGTTGAAAGTATGCCCATCTGTGGCTGCGCAGTTCCTCTCCTGGGTTCGTACCCGGCAGAAATGCACACGTACATTTACCAAACATTTCCTTGAACGCCATAGCATTGTTTTATTTGTAATAGCCCCGAGCTGTCAACAACCCACAGGTCGTCAACAGGATAATGGGTAAATTGTGTCATGTTCAGAAGCTGGAATAGCACACACACTGCGAAAACCAGCAGTGACACTCAGCAGAGCCGACTCTCACGAAGGCAGTAACGAGCAAGGGAAGCCAGACACATGCAATACACGTTACGTGATTCCATTTGTATGAAGATAGAAACTAGGCAGAATCGACCGACAGTGTTTGAATTCAGGAAAGCGGTTGTCTGTCACCTTCTTTAGAATGTAATCATTGTTAATAGGTGGGTGTGTCTCCCCTTGAGACTTTTTAACTTAAAAACCTCAATTTTCAGAAATTAGGCAAATTAAAGCTACTTTAATAACAAGGGGAGATATTTTGATGGTTTTCCTTGAAAATATCTCATGAGGAAAATTTCCAAATGTACATGTGAGTGGAGAGGGTTCCGTGATGAGCTCGGATGGACTCATCACCCGGATGGGACGGTCGCCGCCCGGCACCTCTGCTTGTGCAATGAGTGTGCCCTGTGCTGCGGAGTTTTCCAGCAAGTCCGAGGCTTCCGGACTCTCCCTCCACAGGTGCTTCATGAGAATCTCAGCTACTCGCCCTGGCTGGGGTGGCTCAGCGGTTCGGGCGTCGTCCCCCAAACTGAAGGGCAGTGGGTTCGATTCCTGGTCGGGGCACATGCCTGGCTTGTGGGCATGCGAACAAAAGGCAACCCATGGATGTTTCTCTCCCTCTCACTTTCCCCTCTCTCTAGAGAATCAATAAGCAAGTGGCCTCTTGGCCTTTTGGCTAAGATCTGTGTAGAATCAATAAGCAGACCCTCAAGAGGATTGAAAAGAAAGATCTCAGCTACTTGAGGACATTTTCTTAGAGGACGCCAACCCTATAATCACAGACAAGATTCACAATCATCCCGTTAATAACATCCGATATCCAGGACAAATGTGATGACCTCTGACTGTCCCCATACGTATCTTTTACAGGCGCCTTTTAGAACCATTTCTGCAAAACCGAGAGGGACACCAAGTGGGGGGTGTTCCAGGGGGGTAGATATTTTTTTCTTGAATTTGCTTTATGAACTTCTCTGCATGTTACTTTTATATTTCAACAAAGATACTTCCTAAAGAACAGAAAGAAAATACAAAGCGAAACCACAAACCTTCGGTGGCTTCTCGTGGCCTGCTGAAGACGCTTTGTGATAGGCAGAGTTCTGCAGTGACCCCGGGTTGACCCCACTCCCTGCGATGCAATGGGACACTCATTTGGATGCTGATGCGATGGGGCTGTGCCGCCGTAATTGAGATCACGGGTGGTAAAGCAGGGAGAGGATTCTGGATTCAGCAGGTGGGCCCCATGGAATCACGTGAGTCCTTAAAAGAAGAGAAACCGCTCCAGCCGGAATCAGAGCTGGAGAAGAGAAAGCGAGGAGAGGCAGAGGAGGGGAGGAGAACACAGAGATTCAAAATATGAGAAGGACGGGACCCCAGGGTGCAGGCTTTGAGGACCAGGATGGGGGGCGCCCACAGAAGCTGAGAACAGGCGGTCAGCAGCCAGCGAGGGAACGGAGAGGAGCTCTTCGCACCCTGGGCCGCAGCACCCCATCCCCGGACTGCATTCTGCCCACCGTCTTGAGCTTGGGAAATGGATTCTTCCCCGTGAGAAAGGCACGTGACTCTGCCTGCCCTCTCATTCCTGCCTCCGACACTCAAGGCAGAGATGTCAGCCAGACCCACAGAACTTCTTACCTCGGGGACTGTGAGCTACTAAACGTGTCTGCAACATTTGTGCCGACTTCTGTCTGCAGTGACAGAAACTGAATCCAGACTTCAAACTCCTCTACCGGGCCTGTGGGGTCCTCCCTGCACCCCCAGGCCTCCTGCTGTTGCAAATTTGTTTCCCAATGTGCAGCCTACAGTGGAGCCCTGACCCCTGCGGACACGCGAGCCCGGCTTTCTTCCCTGTCCTCTCCCCTCGCTCTGCTTTCCGTCAGAAATGCTCCCACTTCTCCCCACAGCTCTGGGTGTGGCTTTCCTCACAGCCGTCATTTCTCACTTCCAGGCTGGGCATCTCCTTTGCCTACTATGGGGTCATCCTGGCCAGTGCTGAGCTGCTGGAGCGGAACCTGGTCTGTGGTTCGAGGCCTGAGTCCGAGTCTGAGACCACGGTGGCAGTGAGCGCGGGGGTCTCCGAGGAGAGCCAGAGCCCCTGCTACTGCCACATGTTTGCCCCCTCCGACTACCGGACCATGATCATCAGCACCATCGGTGAAATTGCTTGTGAGTGTCTCACGAATGGGCCCCCGTGTTCTGGGTGGGGGGCAGGCAACGCAGAGCCTCAGAGGAGAGACGTGTGACCCTTCATAGACCTGGCCCCTGCCGGCCGGAACTGACCACCACCCCACTCCTGCCCCCACTCAGACCCCCAGGTGAGCTGGGGTGGGGAGGAGAAGTGCGGAGGAGCAGAGCTTTGAATTGCTGAATTCTGCCAACTCTAAGATGCATTTTTTTCCTTCGCATTTTAATAGCTCTGCCTGAAATTGGGACGTCTTACAATGGTGTGTTGGATTTTAATCTGCAGTACTGTTTCTGTTTTAGTAGACATAAATAATGGTACTTAAAATTCAATGGCATCTTGAATTGGATAGAAAACAGCATAAAACACTTAAAATGTAGGTCTAGCAAGTAGGCGATGTACGTGGTAAGCAGCCTGGGCGTGGAATGTCCTTCATATACTCCACTGTTTGTCGTTCCCGGGCCACGCGGGAAAAGCGTGCCAAAGGGGTCCTGACGTTGATGGCCTGTGGCTGGGCTCTTGGCCGGGAGATGCACGAGGTGTGGGTGACATTGCTTCCTTCCGAAATGACGAGGAGGAATCGAGTGTTGATGAACGCCACTCGCGTTTAAGGTTCCAGACAGGTCCTTGTCGTTTGCTTTGTAGTGAATCCGCTAAACATCCTGGGCATCAACTTCCTGGGCAGGCGGCTGAGCCTGTCGATCACCATGGGCTGCACGGCTCTGTTCTTCCTGCTCCTCAATATCTGCACCTCCAGGTATTTCCTCTCTGGTCGCTTCACAATAATCGAGCTTCGTGCAGTGGTTGTAAGACGGGGTCTTCCATCCCGTAGTGGACACTGGGGGTCAGGGTCAAGTCCCTTTCGTCAGGACAGTAGAGAATGGGCTGCCTGTTCGTCTGGAATGATCTTGCCCAGAGTCTGCCCGGGCAGCTCCCTCCTCCCACTGACCCGGCCCCTCCTTGGCTCTCAGGACGTGGGGATGAGTATGGCTGTTCTCACTTCACCTCTCCAAATGTGTGGGGTCTTTATGCAAAGCCTCACGGGGAAATGGGATTCTACTTGTTAGTCAAATTATCCTGACCATTTTCAAGAGAGTGTATTAATATATTGTATGTATATACTATATATTATTATATGTCTATATAACTCTGTGTGTGTATATACCTATACACACATGTATAAACACACATATATATAGACACACACTGTTATGTGTATATATATATATATAAAATACACATAATCTGTGGTATGAAAATTAATTTTACTCTTTATTTGTGACCCTAGAGTGGCCGCAGTTATAATGAATATATATCACTTATTCTGCAAACCATCCGCACCGTTTTTGGGGGGTGGGGGGCCAGGCTGGAATGGCACACTCTGGGGGAGGAGAGGCCGGGGAGCGGGATCGGAGGTTTGAGTCAGGCCTTTGTGTTAGGCCCCCGCACTCAGGCCAGCGGAGCAGCAGCCGGTCATCTGTGTGCGTGTCAGCACGTGTGACGCACTTGGCCGGGGCCACGGAAGGCCCTGCACGTTGCCTCTGGTAACTTCTCTTGTGTCCTGTTCCCTAGTGCCGGCCTCATCGGCTTCCTCTTCGTGCTGAGGGCGCTGGTGGCAGCCAACTTCAACACCGTCTACATTTACACCGCTGAGGTTCGTTTCTGGGAAGCGGTCGGTTCCACCAGGGGTGCAAGACTCGGAGAGGGTGTCCGTCCCCGGCGTCTGTTGTCTTGTGATGATTTTATGAAATGAAGCCAGAAGGTGTATTTGATAGGGAGTTTCCCTGCCCCTCTGAGTCTGGTGACAGCCAGTGTCTGAGATCAGGGACAGAACCTGTCCCTTCCCCCTACACGGTGTTCGGGTCAAACACAGCCCCCGTCCCAGCGCCGTGCGTCCTTCCGAAATAAGGCCCGCAGCTGTGAGTGGGTGTTAAAATGCAAAACTCCTGGTTTCTTGCTTTGAAATTAGAATGTATTTTTTAAAAATGTTTTGATTATTATTTTTTATTTATTTATCTTTAGAGGAGAAGGGAAGGAGAGAGAGAGAGAGAAATATCAATGTATGGTTGCCTCTCTTGCATCCCCTGCTGGGAACTGGCCTGCAACCCAGGCATGTGCCCTGACTGGGAATCGAACATCCATCCTTTGCTTCGCAGGCCCGCACTCAATCCACTGAGCTACGCCAGCCAGGGCTAGAATGTATTTTTCACGTTTATTCTTTTGAAGGATCACACCGCCTTCATCTGTTGTGTGCTGCATGTAGCTGAAGCTGAAATATAACAGTAATTTATTCTTTCTCATTTTGTTGAATTGATGTCTGCTCTATGCAAGGCACTGCCCAAGGCAGCTAGAGGATCTTCCCTGAAACCCTCCCTTTGAAAGAGCTACTGTCCTGCAAACGAACCGCTTCTGTACAGGAAACAGTATTGTAACTGGAGAAAGTGGTGCTGTCTGGACTGATAGAGCTGTGTTCATTTCTGTTTCTGGAAAAGCAGAAGGCTGTTCAGGTTACAGACGTGACGTGTCGAAAACATTAAAGCTACAGAAAAAAAATATTCCCCTCCCATAGAAATAGGAAGTGATAACATGTTTGACATATACATAACAGTTCATTTCATTTCTTTAACATCTTCTAGAATTATCTTGTGAATAATTCTAGGAACCCAAAAATCAGTGTGTGGTAATGATTGCTTCTAAAGTTATATTTGGAAATCTTCAGTTTGACATTTTGGAATGTTTTCATTTAAAGATCATTCCTAAGTATTTTTTTTTTCTGATGCTCATTTAAAAAGTCATCCATTATTCTATCTCCCAGAATTGAGAAGCTGTGAACAAAAAAGACTTTATTGATATTATGTAGAGAAAAGAACATCACCGTGTGTCTGCATCCGGGTTTTCAGGTGTAGTGAGCAGCCCCACTTTCTAGAGAGAAAGCAAGGCCCCCGCAAAAGCACTGCAGCCCCAGACCTTACCCGGTGGACACAGCAGGGCTGCTGGGACAGGAAAACATCTTTTGTACTTGGTGGTGGCTTGTAACAAGATGTGGTCTCATAAAGGGACTGTGTGCTTTGTTTTAGTGAAATGATAAAAACTTGTTTTGTTTTGTTTTGGTATTGTATGACACTCTAGAGTTTTGAAAAACCATTGTTTCATATATTCTCCCTATCACCTGATTTTTAATAACATGTGCTTATTAAACTTTCACTAGTTCCTCTAAGAATTCTGAATTAATGAAATTCAGATTAATGAGTTTTTATTATACATGAAAGAAAGCTGCGGGAAGAAAGTGGACTTTGCAGTGAGAACATGGTGGGGGGGCAGCGTGTGCCGGGCACCAAGGCACTTCCTCAATGTGGCCGCATTGAAGGGTTCATTGAATCGTCATTCTTCAGTGGAACCACCTTTGTGCATTGATAGCTCTAAATGGAAATCTGATGTCTGATTCCAGAGCTTGCTTTTCCGAAGTTATATTTTGAATATTACATGAAAGACCTAGTTTGAAATTTGCTCACTTAAAAGGATAATTTTTAAGTGTTGATTCTTTTTGTGACAATTATGGTTAAAAAATGCAAAATTGTATATCTTAGGCAATGAATGTCTTTTACTCTCTAGCCTACGTAGAATATTTGGTATTTAATATACAGGGTGGGCAAAAGGAGGTTTTGAATTGTGTGCGTGAGTTTATTCTTGTGTTCTTACTTACTAATCATTGTATTTGTTTCTTAGTGTTCTTATTACTGTTGTTATTATTTTGTATCCTTACTTATGGTTTGCCTTTTAGGTAATGCTGGCTGGTAATTTCCTTACCTTTGCCCACCCCTGTGTTGGTTGCCAAAGTCTGGCCTGGGGAGGGAAGGGCAGATAAGGGGCCTGACCTGACCGATGCTCTCGCCCCTCCCTCCAGGTTTACCCCACGGCGATTCGTGCCTTGGGGATGGGGACCAGCGGCTCTCTGTGTCGAATTGGAGCGATGGTGGCGCCGTTTATTTCCCAGGTACACCGGGAGTCTCTGCAGGGAGGACGGGTCTACGGGAGGCGGGGGACAGGGACCCCGGCTCCCTTCTGGTTAAGGGTGTATCCCCGGATTTGTGTTCACTGAGTGAGTTTTCTTGAGGGGCTGTTTTCCATTGTTCCATGAATCTGAGTAGAGAAAGAAGCTGAATTGCCGCGTGCAGGCTTGCTGTCAGTCAGTAGCAGGCATGGCAAATATGAGCAGGTTTTGGATTTTGCTGGGTGTTGCTGGGGAGGATGCAGAGAAAATGGATGACTCGGGGAGGTTGAGTAGTTGGATGAAAATGGACTCTGACCTTGGCCCTGTCCAGGGGTGCAGGCGAGTAATACAGCTGTACAGGGAGGTGGCCTTGGGCAGAGTAACTCCAGTGCTCCAGCCAATCAGACTCACACTGACTGGGACCCACAGACCAATCAGACTCAGGCTGGGATGAATTCCAGGCCTGAGTGGGACCTATGGACCAATCAGAGTCAGGCTGAGATAAAATTCAGGCCTGGAGCCCCTGGCCCAGATGGTGGGGGCCGACGGGAAACTGGGGCCTGTTCTCCACAGGTCCGTTGGGCCGTGGCCACTCCTTGCCTCTCTGAGCATTCAGAATGTGTAGTGCTTGCCTGTGTGTGTGCGGCCTCCCCACAAATCCTAAACGTCCGAGTATGTCCTCAGATCCAGCCACCAGAAAACTGTGATGCGCTTCTGCATTCCTAGGAAGAGACTTTCATTGGCCAGATCTGGTTAACTGTTCACACTTGAGCTAAATCAGTTACGGCCAAGAGCCCGGGGTATGTACAAATGAGGCTGCAGGGGATGTGTGATGTTGTGCTTTTATAATAAAGTATTATAAATGGTCTTCATCTACACAGAGCTCCTAAAACCCATGCAACTTCCTGGGTGGCGAGAGCCACAAAGATGTCTTGGTATGTTAATGAGGTGACTTGAGGACTGCACCCGAGCATGGGGATTGGTTCCAACCCAACCAATCCTGTGATTGGAGGGTTGGAACTTTCAGTCCCGCCCCCCTCCCCCCCTACATCTTAGGAGGGGAGAGGGGCTAGAGGTGGAACCCCTCACCAATGGCCAGGGCGTTGGTCAATCAAGCCGGTGTAATGAAGCCTCCATAAAACCCCCAAGGGGGGTGTGGAGAGCTCCCAGCTTGGGAAACCAGAATGCGTCTGTGCTCCACTGTGCTAACCCCAGACTCCGGGAGGACATAAGTTCCTTTGTTTGAGACTTTGCCCTGTGAATTTCTGCATCTGGCTTTTGTTTGAGACTTTGCCCTGTGTATTTCTGCATCTGGCTTTTGGGTCAGACCTTGTAATATCCTTTATTATAAATAGTCTAGTGAGTGAGCAGGTTTCCCAAGTCCTGTGAGCTGCTCTCGCACATTAATTGAATGCAAAAGGAGGGGCGTGGGGACCCCCTGACTGGCAGCCAGTTGGTCAGAGTGCAGATAATAATAAGCAGGACTGTGAGGGCATCTGAACTGGGGGCAGCTTGTGGGGTAGAGCCCTCAACTCTGGGACCCGATGCTCCCTCCAGGTACATAGTGTTGGAACTGAAGTGCTTGGTGGAGGAAAATCCTTCCAACTCCTGCCACATGTCACTCATAACTGGGTGCAGAACCCAAAATAGGGGTGGTTTTCAGTCAAAGTGCTGACACGGGCCAAACAGACCGTAACACGCATTTCCTGTAACTCATTAGAGATTGTCACCACTAACTTTTTGCCATTTTGGGAGTGTTTTCCCCATCTGCCTTAGGGAAAAATGGGGGCAACTTGTGTCTTGTCACTTTGCTTTTCAAACTCTTATATGTTCCCACCATTTTCAGAAAAGGATGAAATGGGGAAAGGCAGTGGTAGACAACGACTCCTGCTTCTGGAGGGTCAGATCAGGGACTAGTTCATTTCCTAAGATCCAATCAGGAACTGAGTCTGTTGGGAAGAGTCTTCCCACCTGAGTCTTCCGGGAGCTACACTGCATTTGGTGGGCGTACGGATCAGAAACGGCCCCCAACTGGGCCCAGGTCTCCCGGGGCCACACTGCTCTGCTAGGCATCTTGGAGCTGAGGCGTTCTCTATGCTTCTCAGTTTAGCTCACCCATCTTTCCACGCCGCCTTCATTTTAAAAGTGAAGATAAATAACAGCGCCCACTCCACAGGTTTGTTCTGATAATTAACTTGGATTAAAAGATGTAAAAGCACTTAGCCCAACTTTTGACACACAGGAAGCTGTCAGTAGATGTTAGCTAATAATGATGATGCGTAACAAGCAAGGCCAAATGCTAAGTAGTTAAATAAAAGTATGTCTGTGATAAAATTTTAAGTTTATATATGTGTGGGTATATGTGTATATTTAAGTTACATCTGTCACTATGCAGTTGCGATGCCTTGCTGACCTTAGCAGGGTAGGAATGGGAGGGATAGAATCCGGGAAGCATTGTTTGCTCCTCAGGTGTCTGCCTGGGCCCTGAGTGGGGCGAGCTGCTGCAGACAGTGGGGCTGCGTGTCACTCCTGAGCCACTCAGGCAGCCTTCTCTCGGACGTGTTCTCCAACCTCTGCGCCTGTCAGAATTCCCAGGGGAACTTGAGGATGTGAAGATTCATGACTCTGCCCAAAGACTGATGTGGTGTATGGGACCATCACCTGTAGTTGTGACAAGTACCCCGACTGACTCTGAGCCAGCTGGTCTGTGTCCCACCCTCTGAGAGGCACCACTGCCATCAGGGACTGTACCGTAGAAGGGTGCAGCCAGGGGGCCCCCAAAGGTAGAATTTGCAATGGGGTCCAGAACTCAGGGTGTCCAGGAAATATAAAAAAATATGGGATGTCCTCACCCCCACAAGTCTGAGCTGGGGGGATGGGACACATGGAGCAGGGCCATTGAGAGCTGTTTTGCATAGCAACAGTTTCACAGATAACCTCTAGAATGGTCCTTTAACATATCTATAACCAGTAACTGGTTGCATTGATATGTTAAATAGCTGTGGCCATGCTTTGAGCCAGGGAGAAGGGAGTGACTTCCACTCCAGATGTAACTGGGAGGCAACTCCCAGCCCCTCTGTTACAGCACCTGTGTGAGAGCTTGGAGATGATTGGCTCCAGGCCACGGGGCCACTCTTGCCCAGACTCATTAAGGCCGCGCAGTAGTCCTGGTGGGTGTAGCTGATTGTGGGAGGAGTCGGAAATGGGGCTGCAAAGGAGGACTGGCTGGGGGATTTAAACGCAGATGCGGCAGCCATTGGAGAGAGAACCACGTGTTTTTGGCCAGAATGGGGAGTCCCACAGCCACATGAGAGAGAATTACTATGTAGCTTTAGCAGAGAGAACCGTGTGGCTTTGGCCATAGTGGGGGACATCCCCCGCCCCGGCAGCCATGAGAATCATCGTGCAACTTTAGCGGAGAACCACCGTGCGGCTTTCTATTTCTGTTCCTGAGATATGGTACCTTGGACTGGGCAAAGGGGGAAAGAAGGACGGTGTGTGTTTGTGGGTGTTTGAAGGGACTTTGGGATTTTGATGAAGACATTAAGTCATTACTCTTAAGTCTCTAATACAACTACTTGTACTTGTCACAGTGAAAGCCTGCCAAAACTAGCCAGGAAGGATCCGCCCTATAAGAATAGAGTCCCCTCCAGCCCATGAGGTCAGTCTCTGCTCAGAGTTGGCCTGCTCCCATGTTCTTGGCTATAAACTCTGGGTGTTCGGTTCAATTCTTTGTCCCGATCACCAAGAACCTGGTTACCTGTGCCCACCTGTGACAGGACCAACTGGGAGGTTGGCTCCTACTGCAGTTTCTCTTCCTTCCCTTCCCCTCTTCACCTTCTCTCTCCATCATTTTACTCTTCTTCTTCCTCCTCATTTTGCTCTCCCTAAAAGAGGCTATTAAACCAAATTAAAATGTTTACATATTAACAAATAAAATGTCCACACATTTAATGACCGTATTTATAAATTTAATTTAAAAATCTCTTTGAAATAAATGTTTCAAGATGTTTGAAACTTTAATGATAGAGAAATAATAGGAGTCGTGGGTGTATAGTCCAAGAAAGCAGAGAAGGGGGGGATGTTAATACCGTCCGAGCTTCAGCAAGTACATATGGGCCCAGTAGAGGGCCTTTGCCTGCACACCGGGGACCGCCTTCCCACTTATTCTGGGGAGTGGCAAGAAGTCAGGTGCCTTAGCCGGGTATGTAAGGTTCAGTGACGCTGGGCCTGCTGGTGCTACTGCAGGTGATTACGGCATCCAGTGTGTGTGTGGTTTTGGACTTCACCCCAGGTTTGCGCTGGAGGCCCAGGGAGCCACGGCCACATAGCTGTGGGGACGACAGGGTCTGGGGAAGGCAAGCGAGGCTGTGGTCTTGTGGCCAGGCTTCACGTGGCGTCACACCAAAAGAAACACGGTCGGCATCCAGTAAAAGGACAGACAACATTTTAAATCTTTACAGACGCCTCTTAAGGGGTGTCAGTGGAGAAGTCCATTTGGAACTCCCAGCAAAACCTTTAAAAATCCTCTTTGTGCCCTGGCTAGTGTGGCTCACTGGGATTGAGCATGGGATGCAAACCAGAGTCGCTAGTTGGATTCGCAGTCAGGGCACATGCCTGGATTGTGGGCCAGGTCCCCAGCAGGGGGCACAGGAGAGGCAACACACACTGATGTTTCTCTTCTTTTCTCCTTCCCTTCCCATCTCTAAAAATAAATAAATAAAATCTTTTAGAAAATCCTCTGCCTGCCTCCCCCAATGGCATGGCAGCGGTCCCTGGTCTCCAGTCTCATCCCCACAGTCTCATTGCCCCTTCAAGTTCAAACTCTACCAAGTGCAGCCTGAACCAGCTCTTCTCTGCACCACCCCCCCACCCCGTAGATTTCTGGTGCTCTTGGCTCTCTCTTGAGCCGCTCTCTGCTTCCCCTAACTGAAATCATACAGCCCCTCAGGCTTCAAAAAGAAGCTGGACACCTGTCGGGCACGGTCCTTGTCACACGACGG